ACAGGCTCTGTGGGGATGTACCCGTCTTGACACCTCAAAGGGAGGAGGCATGGTATCAATGATCATCAGAGCACAGCGTTCGACCCAAGCACTAAACATGCACCAAACAAAAAACCTTTTCCACCTCAGGGAACAAGAAGACTCTCAATCACTTCCAAAAGTAAACAAGCAAACTCATAGAAAGACGGGGAACTGGGTGGTGCAAGTGGCTCCATGCGTTAAGTTGTCTTCCGGCTCCAAGCAAGGTTGCACTGCAGCAAAGGGAACTCCTGTTGGATAGCTGCAGGGTAGACCGATGCCTTTGCGCAGGCTGTGCGATTCCAAGCATGTTCGCTCGTCCTAATCCTCGTTGCAGTTTACATGCCTACCATTCCCGCAAAATTCAGCAGAAATGAGAACTGCAAACGCAGTTTTAAGTTGTAGAACATCCATCATTTTGGTTTGGTTGGTTGACAAATCACAGACAGGCCGTGAGTCAAGGATTGACCTTCTCCAAACGGTAAAGCCCACTTGAGGCCGAGGGTAGGTGACGAAAGCTAGCAGGGGTGCATCCGGACTGGTGGGACATCAAGCGGAGTGAGGCAAATGCTCATGAGGTAAAACGTTGTGAACATGTAAGACACACAAACAGCAATGACACAGCCAACCTTAGAATTGAAGTCCCCGATAATTAAGGAAGCGTGGCTGGACTTTGCCACACTGTTCGATGCATCCGATGTGTTCACGAACCTGTGAGCTTGTTGAATCTGTTGCACCGTATCCCAAAACCTTCACGGAGGAGTTGAACCAGTGTGGATGCCATAAGAGGTGCCCAAGAGGTGTCCCAGAGGCAAAACAAAGCTGCTTGCATGATTTGTTTGGTTTCTTCTATCGATGTCGATGGCATGAACATGTGAGCTTGTTGAATCTGTTGCACCGTATCCCGGAGGAGTTAAGCCAAAGTGGATGCCATAAGAGATGCCCGAGAGGTGTCCCAGAGGCGTCCGAGGGGGGAGTTGAACCCACGGGGGGGGGGGCCCTACATATGAAGTTTTCACGTGATTCGGCGATCCCGAGGATTCCAGCCCCTCACTTGCTAAAGCAAGGACAACTCCAGCTAGCTGGTGCTAGCTTTCGTGAAAATGTCAACACAAACAGCCTCACTCGTGCCAAGTGGCATGAGAAGTTTGACGGCTCAAAGCTTGTTGCATTGCAGGTGAGGTTGACCAACGAGGGAACAAAGCCCTGATCGCAAAAGAGTGTACAAACCTCCCCGTGAGGAATCGCCTTCCCTTCTGTGCATGGTACCGCTGGAGCATCAGGGACACCGCTTGGAGCAGTGCATGCCTGGCCAATGCAATTGTACCTCATGTCGCAGCTCTGGAGCTGACACTCTTTTCGCAGGGGAAGCTCAAATAACAAGTGTATTAACTCAGTGTAGTACATGTATATTCATCCATGTTCAATGGAATACGGGAACGGGAAACACTGACAAAGGAAGCTAAATAAAAGGCCGAAGGAGCATGAAGGAGGAACGTTCATGTAATTACTGGGAAGACAAAATAGGGAAACATCAGCAAGTCGAGCAAGCAGGGCAAGTGGTACAGACCAAGCAGACCAAGAGGGGCAAATGGAAAACATCCACTAGCTGAACAGCATGCCCGCTGTTCCCAGATCCGTTTTGTTGTATTCCACCCTTGGTGTCTTTTGAACTAGAATAAAAGGGGTGTCGAAAAGCCTGATGTCTCTTCAATTAGTATTTGCAGTCCTATATAGTAGGTTCTGTATAGTCCTATATAGTAGGTTCTGTGTATATATATATATGGCATTTTATACATGAATATGACTCATGACCATCCTACATCATCCTGCAAATGATCAAACTTAACGGGTGTCACCCCTATCAGCCATTGTTTCTTTGAAAGTCATTTGGAGAGTCACACACTTGCAATCTTTACCAAGGGGCAGTGGTGGGTTGAAGGTGCCAGTGTGACAATGAAGAGCTGGAATGTCCGGCAGGTAGCCAGGTTGACACTGAACTGTGCAAATGGCTCCACTGGATATACTTGCTCCTTCCTCACAGGTTTGAGGCTCTGGCGGGATCCATTCAATTACAGGCTCGTTTGCAGCTCCAGAGTATGCCACCGTCTTGTTGTAGCCTGGAAGAGGTATCGGTGCACCAGGGAGCCAATGATGAGCTGTGCAGTTCATTGCGAAGCATTCAAAACGCGGTGGAATGAGTGCGCCGGCCAAACAATTCAGTCCACTTTCGGTTGCTGTATAGCCAGGACTGCAGTTTGGGGTGCAAGTGCCATCATGGGGCACTTCTGGTCCCTCTTTGCAGGTCACATTCGCAGAAAACTGAATGAGTTCTGGCGCTGGGCAGGGGTCTCCCAAGCACTCCCAAAGCGTGTTAAGCTTCCCAGCGAAGCAAGGGATCAGCGACACATTCGGATGGTAGCCACTCACACAGAGGGGATCGCAAAAGCCTTCGTGTGGAATCAGTGGCTCTGGCAAATTCAACTTCAAGGAGCAAGGCCTTTCCTGGTTTGCATTGGGGATTTCACCTGGCCGATGACCAGCTGGAGGAATTGGGCATGGAGATCCCAAACAGGTGAAAGTGCTGGGTGACAAGACTCCGGCCACACAGGGGAGGTAGACTTTTCGAAGCACTGGATCCCAGGGCAAGTTCGAAGCATCTGGAGTGAAACCCTGCTGGCACTTTGGAGTGCAAACACTCCCATGTGGCACCTCTGTCCAGTTCTCCTCGCAGTTGTACGGCCCTTCGGTCTCACCACCGAAGGGAATCCCAAGCGGAACTGCACAGCTGATCCCAGCACAGGTGAATGTTGGAGGTGAATACTGACCGTTGTAACAAAACAAAAGCCCAGAGATGTCCTTAGCTGCAGCGAACCCACAGAAGCCACTCTGTGAACCCACGATCGATCCTGTCAGGGCTCTTGCTTTTAGGCCTCCTTCGATGCTTACTTGCTCGCCCTCATTGAAAAGAAGTATTAACAAGTGCCTTACTAGTAGTAACAAGAAGCTATTAGAAACAAGTGCCACGCTACTAGTAACAAGTGCATCGCTAGTAGTAACAAGTACTTCAGTGTTTAGAGTTTAGAGCTAGCACGTTGCGGCTTTGGCACATCCTCCATCCTGTGCCGTACATTAGAGATGCTTCACAAAGCGACTCGTATAAAACCTTCATGGACCTTCCATGGGATGTTGTGGTCTACCAGAGTCTTGTGCTATCTTGTGTTCTTGTTTCCGACTCAGGCTCTGGGACTGACAAGATGTATCCATCGGCGCATTGCGGCGTGCAGGTCCCAAAGTCCGCGATCGTATCGCCTTCGGCGCAAGACCTGAGAGCAGTCCAAAGAGCTGCGTACAAGTCAAGGGGACTTGCTAAAGGGGCCTCAGGGCCTTACCTTCTTCTTTTCCTCCTTCCATCTCCTTCCCCTCAAACGGGGAATATCAGATGGAATGGCTCCATCGGAAATATGTAACATCGACTGTAAGTAGCGTGAGCTTGTACTCTTTCCCCGTCAAAATCTTCGTTTGGTGGCAATTTCAAATCTGGCAACTCTGTTCGGCCTGTGTCAAACTGCAGACAAGACACCCTGAGGGACTTTGGCCATCCACCACAGGTGCCGCGCATTGAGAGTTTGCTGGCACAAACAGCAGCGCCAGCAAGCTCCACATCACGCCAAGGAAGCCAGCGGTTATTCTAGCAAGAGATGGGCAATACACTGACAGTGTTCTATAAGTCACCTTTTAAACGCAGCAGCAACAACAACAACAACTGCTGTTGGTAGAGTCAGTGTTCGCTTGCTCCACGTCACTGCGGTGGCATGTGACATAGTTACGTTTCATTTGCTGCTTCGTGCATGGGCTTCATCCAAATGTGTCTCTGTTGTGCAGGTGAAACAAAGAATATGTAAACACTGCACTCGCCAATGTCACTGCATGGATGGCCACACCTTGATACAAAGGCTCCAAGATTGAGCACAAAGCATTCGCATTTTTTGCCAAAGGAGCTGAAATCCCCAAAGCTCAAACACCCGAACTAGCCCCCCGCCAAAAGATTCGATGCCGATGGCCAGCCCGTGAAGACTGGAAAGCTGACCCATGTCCACTTAGAGTGCTACCACATTGCACGGGCAAGCGTGATTCGTCCCTCTTGGTAGTAGCAGTGCCACCATTGTTTTATGAATTGTGCCAAGCAGCACACCAGCATTCAGACCCACAGTGCAGTCCATTGCTTGATGGTCACCGTGACCGTGAAAAAGGAGGGCACGGCATTGCTTCAAAGGAGGGTTCACCTCGACAGGGCAGGTTTGAGGACCAAACAGCATGGTGAATTTAAACCGCAGGGGTTGGAGGATTTGGAGGGCCTAAAGGCGGGGTTCCCTTGAGAAGAATTTCATTGATAGGCTGAAGGTGACCCTGTTCATCTATGAGTCATCAATCAGTTGCCATCCGTCTACCCCTCTGCTCCAAGCCTCCAGAAGCGAGCGCCAGCCCTCCGGCACTGGTGACATTGCAGGGAGGGCCAATGCCACTGGGGCACTGATGCACCACTGGTGATGTCAAAAAGGAACTGCAGTATGAATTGGGCATGGGAGGTGTGGTATGAGTAGACGGGTAGACTAAACATGGTGTCAGGGAGACTGGTTAGATTGGAGATTCTTCACAAGCCTTCTCTCCGGTTCTGTCCCGGAGCCGGTCACTGGGGCAACCAGTGCAACAGAAAGAGAGTGCCTCTTCCTGTGCCTCTCCGTGTCTTGTGGAATTGACAGTTTCGAAAGAAAGGACCTTAGCATACCTTCATTGAGTCTCTCTTGCACTGCTACTAAGCTGAGTTTGTTTGTTTCAGTACAGTCAGTTAAGCCATGTTAAACCTGTCAGGTCGGCATCCCTTGACCTTCAGCTTTGAGCAAACACAATCTGAAGAAACTCATCCCACTGTTCAAGCCTTCATGAATTGCCGAAGGCCGAAGGAGACCTCAGATCAAAACTCTGGCGCGGCACCAGCCGCGGTCGCATCAGCAGGCGCTGCGCCTGACGAACCATTTTTGATGCAGTATCCTCTTTGGCGCGGGCTGAACATATCAGCGTAAGGTCTATGAGGACTGGAAACTGACGTTGGTTGCCCTCCCAGAAAAGGAACAAAAGAAGTCCCGCACGACTCTGAAATCGACCTCATCATAATGCCCTAGCTCCAACAAAGGCCCTACCTGGCACGACAAATGTGGCAGATGCGGATGCATATTGTGGGGGCAACTGAAGGCTTCCGCTTTCATCAGGATACTTGTGAATGAAACATGTTCATCTGTTTGTTGCAACTGCTTCAAACCAAGAATCTAACCTCAGAAATGCTAACTGCTGGCGTCCTTTCTTCCAGGCTTAGAGACTCAATTGTCCAAACAGGGGAGTTCATTAGCTGACCTGTCTCCATACCGGCCACCAAACTCATGCAATGTTGCTACAAAGTCAATGGATTTATGACTTTACGGGACCAGAAGTGCTCGAAATTAACAGTGGAACCTCATGAAAAGGAGGCCGGGCCAGAAGCGCTCCAAATCAACAGCATGGACTCTGTTGTTTCCAACAACCAAGTCGAGGGAACCTGCCACATTATAGCCTCTTTCGGGCTTTATGGATTCGGCCCAACTGCGTCAAGCCACAAGGTTCTCGAAGGAATGCGCCAAAGGCAATGCGAACTGCTCACCTGACTGAGGCTCAAGGACGGTTGACCATTCTGCGTCACCCTGATTTGGGTGTTCTACACACAGGGGAGGATCGCCAACCCGTCCCCAGATGCACCAGGACAACGCTGCGCCAGAGTTTACAGTGGGGACAACAAAACCTGACGAGTACAGGATGTCACATGATGTCACAGTCGTTTCAGACTGCCAGTGGCACATCGCCAAATATTTGACCGCTTCGCCCAGCTTGCATGTACGACGCACTTTGGCACAAACATTCAGGCTGTCCTTTTCGTCCGGACATCCAGCTTAGTGCGAAAGACTGGCAGGCCCTGCACAATGTTGCAAAGCATTAACTTTGGCTGTGAACCATAGAAACATCTATGCAAAGCTGCATCTTTTGCCAGCATTGCATCCAGCGGAAGATTGAACCAAGAAAACAAGCTAGACAGGTATTCACTTGTGGAACAGACAGAAACAAAAAGAGCTCCAAAACATTCAACGTTAAACCTGGCTTCTTCCGCCAAGCACTAAAAGGGTTTTGAAGGAAACAGCCATGATTCCCAGAAACGATGGTCTCATGGCGGGTCCCACCTGGTCTCATTAGTGCTTCTATTGAAGTAGTAAGGCTTCCCAGTGGGGTCTTTCGCTTGCTCCCATCCCTCAGGCAGGTCTGAGATGGGTGCACCAGCCGTTGCCGGTGCCGGAGCATTTGCTGAGGATGCTGGTGGATTCCAACTGGTTTCACCCGTGGCTCGATTGCAGAAATACAGCTTTCCGGTGGAAGCATCGGTCATCTGCTCCCAGCCCGGCGGCAAACCGCTGGGGTCGATCTGGCACGGTTTCATGTAGAAGGGGGACCATCAAAGATGCGGTTAGATGTTATGAGAAGGAAAAACTGGATTTGTTTCAGAAACTCACTCTCTTAGAACAAGATTTTTTGTCCAAAATGTCTAAGTACGAAAGAGATCTTGAAGAACCACACCTGCTCCATGCCAGATCCGCCGTTCTGCATAGAACTGCCTGAGTGGAGCCCCAGGGATCTTTGATGGAATTTGGACTCGAGATGCTGGGTCCCTGGCACGAGAAGCCACACTGCCCACCTTCCGGCATTCAAAACCAACCATTGTCATCTCTGAATGACACATAAGGCAACGTGCGACGTTCAAGAGTTCCGGCCTCCAAGCATGTCGTTCGACATCATCCCACCCGGCATTCCGCCGGGCATCATTCCCTGCATGCCTGGCATCCCACCAGGCATCATCCCCATTTGGCCAGGCATCCCGCCAGGCACCATTCCAGGCATCACACCCTGCATTCCGCTCTGCATAGATGCAGCGCCGTAGGGTGCAAAGCGCGGGTCACAACCAGGCGTGCCCATGGGACCGTAAGGCCCTGTCGCAAATTTGTGCAAGGGTAAACACTCTCTGCTTCACACCGCACTGCAATGGACAACAGAATGTACCTGTGACCTTACAAGTTCACCCGTGTGTTGCGCAGGGCATTGAAACTGACAAACAGCCTTGTCACCTGACTACCTTCTTTGAAAGGATGAGCACAGATTGAACTCTGAAGACCCCATGGCCACCCAACACAGGGTTGACATTGAGAGCCTGGGCCAGCAAAGGGCTGAAAGCCGAAGTTCTGCATGCAGCCGACCTACTAGCGGCCAACTGTTGTCTTGAAGCAGATGGATGAACAAACTTGTGGGGGGGGGCATCCTGCCAAGGGGTCCCGATCTCCTTGCCGGATCGGTCTGGCTGTTTGACTTTCCTCTGCAGAGTTGCGGGAATATGAGCTAGTCTCTGAAACAGCATAGATGCGCTGGTACGTACATCAGAGTGTGGACGGGCTTCCCCATCAGTACAAGAGAATCTAAAACTGTAAGGGAAATCTTGAAAATATTGCAGAGCGTGCCTTAGGATCAACACTTGGACCCGCTGTTTAATCTCAATGGGACTGCCCACCGCTCTGGCCTGTCCCATTGGCATAACTCCAATGTCCAAGTACCATGTTACGGCCTTGGGCTGACAGCTCCAATCTCGTGACTTCAGGCACAACATTTCGAGGAACATCAGCATTTCACACTGCATACCGCCTGACTTTGCAGCCTCGGTGCCTTGTGGTTGCCCTTTTTTTCATCCCACTCAGCATCAAATTTCACTCGATCTCCCTCCTGGTACCCCGTCACCTTCACCCGGAGAACATTGACTAATGACTCTGACTAATAAAACCATTAGCAAACGTTAATAAATTCGGAATAAACACAGAAAACAAAAAATTTGGCTAGGTATCGTTTTTGGGATTACTATCGGTTGTCCTCATGTCAAAGAAAATCAGGTTTCATTTGTTTCAAGAAACGTGAGCGCTGACCTTTAGCACTTTGCTCATTTATCAATGTAAAAACCATGTGCAAAAAGAGAGACGCTACTAGGAGCAAAGGGCATCGCTACTAGAAGCAAGGACGCTACTAGTGGCTCCTGGCCTTACTATTAGGAACAAGAAGCTACTGGGGGCTCCTGGCATCGCTACTAGGAGCAAGGATGCTACTAGTAGCTCCTGGCCATACTACTAGGAACAAGAAGCTACTAGGGGCTCCTGGCAACGCTACTAGTGGCTCCTGGCCTTACTATTAGGAACAAGAAGCTACTAGGGGCTTTTGGCATCGCTACTAGGAGCACGGATGCTACTAGTAGCTCCTGGCCATACTATACTAGGAACAAGAAGCTACTGGAGGCTCCTGGCATCGCTAC